GAAATTGTCATATTTTTTAATTTTCATGAAATTGTCCAAATTGCAAATTTCTGACCACATTATTGGGTAGTTGAAATCGGTAAATGGGCAGTTTCTTGTACTCACTCGATAGAAAAAAATGGAGTTCTAAAGAAATAGCTACGAGTTTGGTCGACTGGAGCAATGGAATTAACCGAAAATAGGGCTCAAAGTGGGCGAAATCGCCGATTTGTAAATATCGCTGAGGTCGCTAACTTCGCAAGAGTGTAATTCCGTCAGTTTTCCATCAAATTTCGTTCTTTTGGTGTCATTACAATCGGGAAAAGATTCTCTATCATTTCATAAGAAAAAATAATTTTTTTTTTTAATTTTGCGACACCAGGAGACGCCTCAGGATTGGGGGTTGCGACAGTCAAGGGGTTAATATGCACAGCGTGCTGCAGGATTTTTTTTATACTACACACACTAATCATGCAGACCCATTCTCTCACATGCAGGTCTCTACCAGCTTTCTCCTGCTTGATTTGAAGCCGCTATAATTTTAGTGTAATACTACAGCACCAACACTGGCTTGCAAGCTGTAGTACTATGGCACCAACAGTGTAAGGGTTAATGGGAGCTAGTATATTAGTCCATATATGGCCAATTATGGTTGTACTTGTCTCAGTTACCCTGGTTGGTTTTGTTATAGCTGATAAGCGGCAGTTTTCAATTATACCCATTCTTTATTTAATCAAACTTCCTGTGATAACTATATTTCACTTTGCTTTACAACAGTAGCCCCAGAACCTAACCTGATGTCTAAGTGGGGCCCTACAATAGCCCGGAACCTAACCTGCTGTCTAAGTGGGGCCCTACAATAGCGTGGAACCTAACCTGATGTCTAAGTGGGGCCCTACAATAGCCCGGAACCTAACCTGCTGTCTAAGTGGGGCCCTACAATAGCCCGGAACCTAACCTGATGTCTAAGTGGGGCCCTACAATAGCCCAGAACCTAGCCTGATGTCTAAGTGGGGCCCTACAATAGCCCGGAACCTAACCTGATGTCTAAGTGGGGCCCTACAATAGCCCGGAACCTAACCTGCTGTCTAAGTGGGGCCCTACAATAGCCCGGAACCTAACCTGATGTATAATCAGGGCCTGGCTGTACTGTATATCTTCCAGTCAAGATACTGACACCCTGAAAAAGCCACAGAAACCAAGAAAAAACACCCTAGAAAATCCCCCAAAGTGGCTATTTTAAACTAAATACAAGGTCAGAAGTTAGCCGTTCCTATTATGTACTACATGGAGCGGGATTTCTTTTTTAAATTGCACACACCTACCATAAACCCATTCTCTTGTAACCACAAGAGAATGGGTTTATGGGTTTATAGCAGATCTATGTAAGTAACACTGGCACTAATAATGTGATCTACTCGAGTGACGTTAAAAGAGGTTAATCATCCATTGTACTACTTCTTTGCAAACTGTACAAACGACTAGTTTTCAAATTAAAAACATCAACGAAGGCAACTTGTTTTAACTGGGTCCCTCTGGTATCTCTCTTAACCTGTAGTCTAGGAGAGAACCAAAGTATCAAGGAGTATCTACAAAAATTTTGGCATTGTCTCATCATTAAGAGATTTTGTTCAGATTTTTAACCCCAGAGGGTTAGCCACCCAGGATAACCCAAGAAAGTCAGTGCATCAACAAGGACTGTCTGTCTTGTGTATTATTCCATTAATTTTTTTTCAATCATGTCCTCCAGGATGCAACCCACACCAGGTGACTAACAGTCCTTACAACGAGGTGTAAGGAAACATGCTTAATGTTTCCACCCAGGTGGGGATTGAACACGGACACTCGGTGTGTGAAGTGAGAGCATTGCCTACCAGGCCACGGGACACCACGTAGTCCGTAGATTTCAAGTGGCGATATTTGCTTAGCTGGGTTTGCAGGAGTTGAGCCATCAACATTTATCAACCAATTTCACCAATTACGGCCTCCAGGGACCAATCATACCTACTCCTAACCAGGAATAGCCACTGATCTTAAAAAAGTAGAGATTCAAAAAATAAATCTGCCAATAATATTGTTAAAAATAATGATACAACAATAAAAGATAATGAAAAATATTTCCATTTTTTGTAAAAAAAAAAATCTAAATATCAAAAATAAAGAATAGTCAAGAGGTATGAGTAATCAATTATGAAAGATGATAACTAAAATACTGTATTAATGAATTACTGGATTGTACGCACCATAATGCTAAACTCCTGTGTTACACCTGGCTAACTTTAGTAGTACAGTGGACCCCCGGTTAACGAACTTTTTTCATTCCAGTAGTATGTTCAGGTGCCAGTACTGACCGAATTTTTTTCCCATAAGGAATATTGTGAAGTAGATTAGTCCATTTCAGACCCCCAAACATACACGTACAAACGCACTTACATAAATACAGTGGACCCCCGCATAACGATGGCATCACATAGCGATTTTTCCGCATACCGATTACTTTTATCGCAAAATTTTTGCCGCGCATACCGATTAAAAACCCGCTTACCGATTTTCGTCCGAGACGCGTCCAATGTGCCCTCAGCCAGCCTCACATGTGCCGGCCGTCCCATTGTTTACCAGCCAGCCTCCGCGGTAACATCCAAGCATACACTCGGAATATTTCGTATTATTACAGTGTTTTCGGTGCTGTTTCTGGAAAATAAGTGACCATGGGCCCCAAGAAAGCTTCTAGTGCCAACCCTGTGGTAAAAAGGGTGAGAATTAGTATGGAAATTAAGAAAGATTTTGAAGGGTTTGGGCTAACCCTGAGAAGCCTATGCCAGTTGTGGAATCCATTGTGCCTACTTCAAAGATTAAGGAAATGTGTGCACAGTGGGTTGAACTGCAAACCTTTATAGATGAAAATCACCCTGACACAGCTGTTGCAAGCCGTGCTGGTGACTATTCAATGACAATGTTGTGGCCCATTTTAGACAAATCGTAAAGGAACGGGAGGTACAGAGCTCTATGGACAGATTTGTTGTGCGACAGAGGTCCAGTGACTCTCAAGCTGGTCCTAGTGGCATTAAAAGAAGAAGGGAATAACCCCAGAAAAGGACTTGCTACCTCAAGTCGTAATGGAAGGGGATTCCCCTTCTAAACAGTAAGAAGATAATGCTCTCCCCTCCTCCCATCCCATCAATCATCACCAGATCTTCAATAAAAGTAAGTGTCATTTAATTGTGCATGCCTTTTTCAGTTTGTGTGTATTAAAATTAACATTTCATGTGGTAAAAAAAATTTTTTTTCATACTTTTGGGCGTCTTGCACGGATTAATTTGATTTCCATTATTTCTTATGGGGAAAATTCATTCGCATAACGATTATTTCGCATAACGATGAGCCCTCTTGCACGGATTAAAATCGTTAACCGGGGGTCCACTGTACACTTACATAATTGGTCGCATTTGGAGGTGATCGTTAAGCGGGGGTCCACTGTATTGAGATAGTGCATATAGATGGGAAAAAATAAGAAATAAAGCATGGCATGGGGTTCATGCCTTAAAAAAAAAAAAATGGGTTAGTTATCAATTCTGGAAGATTATTTTCCCCACAGCTCTGTCAGACTAATAAGCAGATTATCTTTCCTACAGCTCTAACTCAAGGCCAATCAGCATAAGTGGTGGAGTACTATAATGGTTTACCACCACTGAAGATGGGACACAATGAGCACTGCTGTTCCTGTACCTACAACTGGGTACATATTTACATTAGATAATGAGTACCACAAAAACTGAAACTTTTTAAAACACTATACACTAAGTAGTTTACTGAAGATGGGACACACACACACTGCTCCTATAGCTACAAATATGTATATATTGTATATCTGTATGTGTTAACACCTTGACTGTTGCAACCCCGAATCCTGAGGTGTCTCCTGGTGTCTCAAAATTTCAAAAAAAAAAAAAATTATTTTTTTCTTATGAAATGATAGAGAATCTTTTCCAGATTGTAATGACACCAAAAAAAATAAAACGAAATTTGATTGAAAACTGACGGAATTACACTCTTGCAAAGTTAGCGACCTCAGCGATATTTACAAATCGGCGATTTCGCCCACTTTGAGCCCTATTTCCGGCTAATTCCATTGTTCCAGTCAACCAAACTCGTAGCTTTTTCTTTAGAACTCCGTTTTTTCTATCGAGTGAGTACAAGAAACTGCCCATTTACCGATTTCAACTACCCAATAACGTGGTCAGAAATTTGCAATTTGGACAATTTCACAAAAATTAAAAAATATGAAAAATTCAAAATAAGGTCCAGAATGAACAATGCAGACATTCCTGGCTCTAAAATAACATTTTCTTTGTTCATCAGTCATGTCTCCAGGCCCCTCTGATATTACTCTTGCTTTCTATTTTGAATTTTTATTCAAATAAAAAATAGAAGATTTACTGTTATGCAGACTACTGCAATATTATAATTGTACAAATAATGTCAACCCATTCATGACTGCATATTAGAATGGCTAGTTGGA